TCTCTCTCTCTCTCTCTCTCTCTCTCTCTCTCTCTCTCTCTCTCTCTCTCTCTCTCTCTCTCTCTCTCTCCCTCAATTTCTTTCCCTCTTTCTGTCTCCATCTCTCTATTCCCTCGGCGACTCAGGTTAATGGCTCGGTGTTTACTCAAGACCTCAGACCCATCAGTCCTGGTTTGGGATACTTCCAGCAGGGCGAGAGACGCAACACATCAAATGCCGACAGTTCGAGGAAACAACGAAAAAGTAATAATAACAGTCGGATACCATGGCACCGGAAAATGGGTGTGGGTCATAATAATGACCCTCGGCGTTTATTTCAATAATTTCATTGTCTAGGCTCAGTGTCATATTGGATTTTGTTTTCAAAGATTCTTCAATAGACTTTTTTTCTGTAATGAGAGGGGGTGGGGATTAAAGTATTGTTTTCGTAAAACAATATGTAACCAATGATATTTTGGAAAACAACGAGCACTCAGAGGGGGGGAAAAGCCTGTGGTCTAAAATGCCATCCACAACCGTGTGGGGAAGATATATGTGATTATGCAAACAGACCTACACATATTTAATCTGATATAGTGAACAAAGTGCAATAATGCATATTTTACGTATTTAGTTTAGTATAGTAAAAGTTTCACGGCCTTCGCAACTGCATACGGTCATATGAGCGCGCGAAACACGAGTCGGTTGAATTCACAACAGTTCACAGCACAGTCAATATTTCTATTAAAATGTTTGAAATTCGTGGTAAATAACTCTTAGTTTAATACATTTTAAATAACATCTAAAATTTAAATAACGTTATTCACAATTTACTGTAAATGCCAATAGCCTTGATAAAATCGACAATTCTGTTGGGATAAACGATGGAGAACAGGTCTTGTAATTTTTTGCATTCAAAATATTTCCTTCGGGTCTCTCCAAAAGTCTAGACATTCTGTTAAGTTGTGTCTAAACGCTGCGTCACATCGGATACAGAACGGTTTCTCGTCTCCCCGAAGGAGGTATTAATGTGTCAGGGAGGTGTGTCCGATGCGTAATCGAGTAAAAAAGACTTCGTCTCTTCTGGAGAGGCCGGGAGGTTCCAGTGGACCCAGCTTGGGTATTGTGTTGTGAATTTATTGTCAATTTGTTTCTTCCATCTTCCACTGTGTCTCCCACAGACTGGAGGTGTATTTATTTATGTCCATTCTGTGACCACAAGCTCCAATTAGTTCATCTATTAACCCTCCTTAAAGAACCAGTTCACGGGAAAAGTTCATAAACATAAATACGGTATGGACTAGGTCAGAAAGTATCTATGTAACACCAATTTATACACTAATCTTTAAAAACAAGCGATAGTGTGCTGTAAATTCCACCTCTAATATTTCCCAATTTATGAAGTACCACGTTATTCTCTTTCCC